GAAACGACGAGTTGGGTTTGTCCGAGGGTGACGGTATGGAGTAGATGGTGTGAGGAAGAAATGAAAGGTTATTGTTAGTCGTGTAGCCAGGTTGAAGAGAGTGCAGAGAAGAGAGTGAAATTGCTATGTTCTTCTGAAGCAGTATGTTCCACTGGGAACCCAAGGGACAGATAATAGTAATAAATAATTTCGCACCACTTACTAGTTCTCGTAATGCCTTTTTAGTGAGATTTCGTGTGGAATGCAGACAATGTTGGTTATTTTTGGCAATTTTTGATGTCGATTTTTTCTAATCTCGAGAACGAGGCTGAATTTTCTACATTCGGCTCAAAGTTTTCCTTCCAAAGTTTTCAAATCACCCTCAAAGTGTTTGCTGGTTGGATTTGAAGTCATAAACTCTTGATCTAAATTATTGCTTTGGTCTTTTCCAGATGACACAAGGTTATTTTAAGTTAGAGATGTTTCATCCTTCTAAACAAGCGTTTTATGCTGGAAAAATTTTAAAATTTATTCCGTAGAAAATTTAGATTATTATCTTCCTACCTAATATGTGCAGCTGAGTTTTATCGCTTTTAAGCAGGGTCATTTTCCTATTTGCTAATCTCCCACGCTTCATATAGTATTTTATCTATTTGGACCAGGATTGTACGGATTGTGTATGAAAGCAGGATTTGTGTTCCTGAGTGTTTCCATTCATACTTCGATTGGAGTAAACTCGCTGCAGTTCAATATTGGCTTTTTCTTGTGTCAGTCGAGCCAGTTGTCTAGTGTCGTATCATTCGTCTAGTAACTAGCTCGAGCGTTACCAATTAATTGTATCCAAGTTTCTTAACAAAGTTGAATAAAAGTTTTAGATTTTTCAATCTACTCTGAGTCACTTTCGTCACCGACGGTGATCTGATTTATGTTGTTTTGATATTAATCAATATTTCATGAAAAAGTTATTTAATGTTTCACTAAACGTTACCATGTTTAGTGAAAATAAAATTCACATTTCTACATGTGGATAATCACTCTATATCTATGAAATGTAGCCTTTTCTTACATCAGAAAAGAAATGTAGGGGTCAAAAGTCTATAGAGTTATGAACAGAAATAACTACCTTTACATTCAACTCACTGAAACAAAAAATTATCTTTGAAGTACATTTTGTGATCAAAAAGTTTCGGTGATTTGCACAGTTGGCCTACTTAGAAGTAACCATTGAGTTTGCTTTACAGTTTAAAATGTAGAGGGGAAAAAAGGAACGACAAGGAATAATGTAACCTGACTTTAAAAGATTTTTGCTAATGAATTCTTATTTTGAGGGTGAAAAGACAGCGACTGAACTCTATGAAGATCAGTCGAAAGCCATAAGTAGTGTAACTATTTTCATCGTTCGCTTAGTTATTTGCCTGTACACGAAGCTCATTTATCTCACTACCAGACTGAATCAGATGAATTTATTCCCATTATTGTACAATAATTAGACTATTTTCTTTTTTGTCTGCTTGGTGACCAGCATAGGAATCGAAGACGCGCATTTCTCCCCATTTCGGACTCGTCAGCTGAATGCAGATCCACTCTAGTGAGTGATTTTGATCGCCCTGAGACTGGAATACAGAACCTATTGCTTAAGACTCCAAAGCATTATCCACTAAGCCATTGAAGCAAGAGTATTGGTTTTTGATTCTGATAACTATAACCTCCCGAATCTCATTGGGAGCAACACTCATCAGAGTGCAGGTAAATCCATCTAGAGTCCTAAATAGGACGAGGCAAGCGTCCAGTACTTCACTTCTAGCTACCAAGTAGATTAAAACATAATCAACAATCGGGTGGCTTCAAGACATCCACAGTGAAGCCTATCAGTGAACGGAAATAGAGCAACGAGAGACTACAAGTATTTAACAACATTTTTCTTTATTTATTTTAAATATATTGCCAGCATTGTACGCTTTCATTTAGTTCTAAGATTTCAACGAACTTTGTTAAACTGTAATACGCTTATCCTTAGCTATTTCACTTAATAGTTTGGCGGTTGTTGATAAATATTTAAATTGCTTCCGAACTATTCATCATATCGCTTAGTAGCAGTACTGATCAGACTCTTGTTCCACCAAAGCCTGAATAATCTACAGGTTCATTCTTCAACTATGTGTCCAAAAGAAACTTGCATACACTGATTGTTCATTGGACAGTAAACTACTCCACTTTATCTGTTCCTAAGTGGTCAGTAGTCATCTCTCTGAATGTAGCACTGTGTGATGCGATCTCAAACCTCTCAGAGGATATTTATTCCCTGGACGTAGATAATAAGCCTCACTTATGAATGCTGAAGACTTTTTACCATTAATACACCAGAATTCTCTCGTTTTATGAAACTTATTACAGTGGTTTTTATCTCTATAATTGAACATCTAAGGGAATGTAAATACGAAAAAGTAAACCTTTTTCCATATGACATTGTCCATTATTTCTTGTAACGTGATACATTTACTAATCAGAGCATAATTGTTTGCGGAGTTTCTATGCATATTGTTTTGATTTTTAGGTTACAAGGTGATGTAATAAGTGTAAATACAGATGATTTGATAGGACAATTCCCTTTGGATTCAACCTTTTCGTCACTTTCTTCTTACCATTTCCCTCTACTGATTTCTTATTAAAACTAACGGAGTCTAGTTTTCCGGATGACCATTTAAACTACTCTATGATCAAAAGTAAACTTATGAAACAATGACATCGATTCATCCTTTTCATAAGACCCAGACAACTCCATTAGTAAAGGTGTGGGGGTGTAGAAATAAAATAAAGAAGACAAGATGGAATATTTTGTAAGGTGAAGTTCTAACGCCTACACCAAAATCATTTCAGGCGTATATGTACACTCATTCTTTAATATTATAGATCAATTCGATAACGTTTTATGATTTGGCTAAGAGAACTTCCCACACAAATTTGTTCTTGTTCATTCTCGAAAGGTAGATTCACTTTGTTGCTGAAATAGAATGCGGAACACAGAAATCTTAATGAGATGGTGAGATAAAGCCAAAAAATTTATAATGGAACGTCAGATTGCAAAATGTAACTTGCAATTTTATAAAATAGGTAATGGAATATGATAAGCGACTTTCTGAAAAATGACGATAAAGATAGCAAGTTAAATATTGTTTTGTCATCTATAGTATTGCTGCACCGCAATTTTAATTTTGCATGGATCAATAACCTCAATATATACTTTCAAACGGTTTATCATTTATATTATTTGTCCCTTGGGTTCCCAGTGGAACATACTGCTTCAGTAGAACATAGCAATTTCACTCTCTTCTCTGCACTCTCTTCAACCTGGCTACACGACTAACAATAACCTTTCATTTCTTCCTCACACCATCTACTCCATACCGTCACCCTCGGACAAACCCAACTCGTCGTTTCCCATTTGCCTTCCACTCGATGACCTTGACTGGCCTGAAGCCTGATGTTCCCAAACAGTCTCCTCAGTATATGTCCAATCCAACTTATGTCCACTTCCTTCTTCTACATATTTGTTGGGTGAGAGGTTGTTGGTTTGTTCGATGCCAGCCAGCTAACCAACCAGCCAGCCAGCCAGCCAGCCAGCCAGGTGAAATAGACAACTTCCTTCACATTTCTCCCGTTCATGGTGATCGGTGATTGTTGTTGCCGTTGTTGCTGCTGTTGGTTGGTTGGGTATCTCCATCACCTCTGTATTCTCTACGTTCACCTGAAGGAAGTTCCATCTTCGTTCGCTGCCCTGCTCTGCCCTACCCTGCCCTTCCTCGCCTCTTCTGCCAACGTGTTGGTTTTCGCCTGTACATCTTCGAGTTTGTGCGACATAACACAATAGATATAAATCTTCATCGGTGGCGAAATCCAAGTCTTCTTCTTGAGTCTTTCCAACGGTCAACACAACGTATGCCCATCTACTCGCTCCTCACAGTTGTGTGTTGCATGATCCAGTCCAGTCGATTCCAGTCCAGTCCAGTCCAGTCGATTCCAGTTCAGTTCAATTCAGTCCAGTCAACCACAATCAGGAAGATCGTTGGTGATAGTAGGTGGCAGCCTCATCTCACTCCTTCCTGTCTTCTCTTTGTAGGCATTACTGAGCTTCACATTGTGAATGACTTGGCATGTAGCATCATCGTATTATATGTAGGTGTTGTTGAATGAGTTTGATAAATGTTTGTGTTACTGAAAGCGTGGTGTTGAATCAGCTGCCAAATTACTTGTCAGTTGTCAGCATCGAAATAAGGCGTTTCTGAATTCTATGAACTTGATATGGTTATTTGACTGCTATTCTGTGCTCTGTACTATGATGATGTGTAACTTAACGTTGCAGTTTGAAATAAGCGGTGTTTGTGAATATAGTTTGCATTTGGGGATGCATATTAGTAGTAGTATACGACATTTGTAACTGTTTATTTGCTTGTTGGGGAGTGTAATCTCGCGAAATATAATTTATTTTGGAGATGTGTCTAACACTTTCAAACTGCAGCTGAAGTTAATTTTAGGAATTATGCGAAAATGTCAACTGGCACCTTAGGTGTTCGCCGAGTGGGGATATTTTATAACTGAAATTTGATATTGACAAACATCGATGTCAGTCAAAATTAAATTTTCCTGAGAAGTAACTGATGATTTAGCATTTCACTGATTAAGATGGGTTAGTGAATGAAGTATGTATGTAAGTAAACGCATAGATACTTTGCACAATGACAGTTAGTTACCAAGCGTGACACATCTTAGTAATGATTTTCTCCATCGGTTCCTGTTACAGTTTTTCACTTTAACTATGAAACTACTTTTCATTAGAATATGTTCCCATTAGAAAACAATTAGGCATTTAAATTATTTATTTTTTTATTCAGTCAGGTGTGGTGTATAACATTTAGGAACTTGTCATTTCCTTGACAAGTTAACCTTCATGATGATTACTGATCAAGCGCTTACATAATGTTACCTGTTACAAACATTTTAATCTGTTATATGCCTATCAGTCAATGGATAAAGAAAGCCACCTTTCATTGACATCAAGTAAGATTGACAGCGGAAAAGATGAAATAAAGATTGATGATACTGAAATTTTACTATCAAATAAAGTAATTTGATTTATTGGGTTCTTTCCGTGAAATTTCTAAAGCCAACTTTTGTCAGTACTAGTTTGCGATATAACTTTCGATCTGCGAAACCGATTGCCTACTTATCTCAGGAAATTTATGATATGGATAGTTAAAATACCCATAGCTAGAATATTTCTGATTTCTATCTGTAAACTAGCAGTATTCACGTCGATCTTTCGAGTAGGAAAATTCACTCATTACACTCTCTGAATTGTGTAGTCCTGAGAAGATCTGAAGTAGAATAAAGCCTCTGATAAGCACCACTCCAAACAATCTTAAATGTTTTTAATCGGTGTCAGGACAGCATAAAACAAACTGACTTAAAACCATTGAGTTTACTGTCTTAGTATCCTTATTGTCAGCAGACACGTTCATTGCGTCCATCAATTACCAATTAACATTACCGAAATCTACCCTAGTAACGTTTACTTCACATAAAAGGTTAACGGTATGCTAGTTATCGAAAAACTGGCGTGACACGAAACATTTACTTCATAGTCACCAAGGAATTTAAGATTTGATTATATTCATCTGACCTCAATCATAAAAATTCATTCGGATATGATCAACCCTATTAGTAAAAGATTGTGAATATGACGTGTTAGACAAACCAGTACAGTTAAAGTACCGAAGGAATATACTTTTCAATTACTTCCTTCGTACGTTCTACAGATATTCATCTTTCTTAGTTAAAAACTGTGTCATCATTGAAGGAGAAAAGAAAATTTTGGATCACAAAAGGACTCAGACCCGCGACCGCTTTGTCTGTGGCCCAATCCTTTACCAACTGAGGTTCGAGATCCGACCGCTGACCAGATCTTGATTTCATTTTATTTGCCGAGGGTTTCGCCTGACCACCAAGTGAATTCATGATGCATTGGTATCGCTTTGTTGTATTCATCCTGACTGCTCAGTCAGGACTCCTCATTCTAATATTCCTCTAGTATCAATATAATTCTGCCAAACCATGTCTATGTCAGATGGTCAAACTGACAGTAATAAAAAATGTGCGCTAATAAAACGTAGGACTTAGTATCAGTGGCTACAACAGACAAGTTTTATCATGAAAAAATAATTATAATAAGAGCCGAAGATAAATTCCATTCCGTCAGATTTTGAAGTTTGTAAGAATAAACATTGAGAAAAGCAGATTAACACATACTGATAAAAATTTATTGCATACTGATTGACCTTGAGATCACAGTTGGTTCCTTATTTATCAGGTAATGAGTAGTTCAATCATATGTTTTTAGTCTTTTCTCTTATTAATTATGGCGATATACACAGGTTATTCGTCAGACTACAACTTTATGTTCTGGCTTTCGTCTTTTCAAGATTGAAAATTAGCCATCACTCTATTGTACGGCGTTCTTCAGTTCATGAACTTATCACCAAATGATAAGTACTGCAGCTTTCAGACTGTATTAACTCTCCATGATCCAGTTTACAATGTACAATGTTGTAAGTGATAATTAGTTCCATTATTGTCATACCAACAAAATTGGTCCAATTAGCTTATTCCAAAGTGAAATTAGTAAAATATTTACTTCTATGTGCCACAATCGTGCCCCCTAGTTTCCTCTTGAACCAATGAAGAGCACTTTATGTAAACTCGAACACCTCCTAATTAAGAATACACATTATTCTTGACTTATACCTTTTGGGACATCTGAACTATAAAAAGCCTTGATAGTTAGTGTAGAATTTGTTTTAAAAATGGAATTTGTAATTCAAGCTCTTCACTAACGACGTTCTGTAAACGTGTGAAACAGAATTCTGTTCCTTAGATCCCTCAAAGATACCTGACGCTCTGTATGAATCACACTCAAGTAGTTAAAGTGCTCATTGTTATATTTTACTCACTAATTTACATTAATTAAAAAAGGCTAAACTGTTTCGTAAACAATATCTTTTCCAAGGATGCTAATGAAAAATAGTGGATAAGAATAGAAGTCGATATGTTGCTTGTTCGTGATTCGAAGTCGTCATCCTGATGTCATTACATCCCATCCCATTGAGTTCTCGACCTTTGAATGAAACGCTGACCAGCGTTCATGCATACACTTTGTCTATATGGCATAGGTATATTATAAGGCAATAGGACAGGTTTATAGGAAATTACAAGAAAAGTGGTTGCATCGGGAATCATTCTCTCTTCAAATTATTAACCGAAGAGTATGCAGCAGTTTCCTGTTTTCAAAAGTTTCTGGTTACACGGAGTTTCTACATTTCCATTATTATTTGTTGCTTGATAAAGCTTTTTGGTACCCTGTAGTGTTGAAGCAGATAGGTTCGATGTACTAGGTAGTTAGTGGTGTGAACCTACATCTGCTACTCTTCTTCATCTCGTTTCCAGTAGGCTGCATCTCCGCTCTCTTCACATCGAGATGAAGTCAATCTGATTTTTAGTGTGGTGTGTTCATCTAGTGAAATCAAATACATGTCGCTTTGCGGATATCCTTGTTTTTGTATACACTGCCTGGCCTCCAATCACCAAATCGTTGAATGCACAGAATTCGGCAAACAATTCTCTATTCTCGTTCATTTCACCAAGCGCTTCTCGACCCATGGTTAGTTCTCTTCCTGTGTCGTCCGCTCACAGTTTGACTGGCATTCATGTCACTCATTAGAATTTTGATGTCGCCAACTGAAGTCTTGTCCAGTGTTGATTGCAGTTGTCTGTAGAATTCCTCCTTCTTCTCTTCACTTTCATTATCTGCAGATGCGTAGCGTTGAATGATTGTGAATTTCCTTCCTTTTGAGTTGAATCTTGCTGTCATGATCCTCATACTAAAGGAGATTGGTTCCCACTATATGAGAGCCTTCGGTGCTGTTATGGACATCATGGTAGCCACTCCGTAACTCAGTGTGTTCGTGGTTGCCATCTGGGTGACAATATTGGAGTAGATTATTGACTCTCCAGTTGACAGTTTGTAGAGTCCACTTCCATCCCATCTGTTTTCACAGATTTCTAGCACTTCTGTTCTAAATCTTCTCATCTCGTTTGCAATCTGTGCAGCCTTGCCAGCCAGCCAGCCAGCTTCAAACATTGTGCAGACATTCCATATCCACATCCTTGCTCTCGCTTTCATTGAGAGAAGCGAAAACACATCGGTCAGTTGGCTTCCTCAAGGCTTCCACCAACCGGCGTCATTTCGTCTCTCCGATTCCAGCAAGCAATAAGTTTGTTTTTATCTTATACAATTTCTTTGTGCTTTGAAGTTTCTGTAGAGGTTGGATTGGTTTTCCGGGGTAGAGTTTCTAGCCCTATGCCCAACGTTCCCTCTTCATCCGGGCTTAGGAATGGTTAGTAACTAGTGAACTAGTTAGCCAGGCAAGGTTGGAGTTTGCAAATAGTTAAATAAAAATAGCGTGAGATCCACTTACAAGTTTACCTGTGGCTTGCTGGCTGGCTGGCAGGCAACGAACAAACCAACAACTGCTCGCCCAACAAATATGAAGAAGAAGAAGGTGGATATGTATTTTATTGGACTGGACATAGACTGAGAAGACTGTCTGAGGACATCACGTTTCGGACCAGGCTTCGCCAGGCCTGGCCAGGCCAGGTCATCGAGTGTAAACCAAATGGGAAACGACGAGTTGGGTTTGTCCGAGGGTGACGATATGGAGGAGATGGTGTGAGGAAGAAATGAAAGGTTATTGGTAGTCGTATATCCAGGTTAAAGAGATTGTAGAGAGGAGAGTGAAATTGCTATGTTCTACTGAAGCAGTATGTTCCACTAGGAAGCCAAGGGAGAATTAATAATTATAGTGCAATTTGCTTTATCGTTTAGTGCAGTTGGGTTGCCTTTATCACATATGGCAATCACTGTACTATTGTCATTGCTTCTCTTTCTCAGCACCGTAGTGCCCAATTTTTACTTCTTCATTAGCTTGTCAAACCCATGTATAAAGTGTCTGCCAACTGGAATGGAATACTAAGTTTTCTACTCATAAAATTTTCTGTCAGTGGTTAGGTCAGTGTCACGCCTCTAACTCAAATGTTATTCTAACTTTACTCGTCAAATATTGCAGTCGTTTTATCGAGTTAATTGTACGAATATAAAATTTATGTTGATCAAATGCTAGGTGGACAAAAAAGGTTCTGACTTTTCTGCTTACAAGAACTCATAAAAACGATATATCTGTATCCTGGAAGAGAACCATGGTGTTCTGGTGATTCGAAAACAGAATATTTACCTCTGAAGTTTGCATTTCTTGATGTGGAACTGATTAAGTTCTACTTTTCGCTTATTGGATTATGATGAATCATAAAGGGTGGTTCAGTGACACATTGAGTTACGGTCTACTTGTCTCATATGCCTAAATAGCTGAGAAGCCAAGTCTTCAGTGGCAGTACAATGCACATATCTACTCTCTATAATTAAGTCAACACAACTCAGAAGTAACTGGGATTTAAGTATCTTTCTCGACAGTATTTCCATTCTACAAGTGTACAAAATAGTAAGGCTATAAAAAATTAACATGACAACGGAAAATGGGAGTCTAACTCGATAGATTTTTTAACCTAATTCTCGACATGGAATATACCTACATATTTGATATAGAGAACGAGTTCACTGCTCTGACTACGGTAAGTAATGTAGAATAAAATCAAATATTTTCATAGCTGATTGACATGATTAGTCTATTGCACAATGTGGCATAGAGAAGTGATACGACATAACACCATCTAATTCACTAATTTAAACGGTCAGTTATTATAGTAAGCAAGTGGTGAAGTGAAGAGAAAAAAGTTTCTCATGACTCACCTAAAGTGTAATTTTACTTGCTTTGATAAACATAACTAAGTGTTATGATAGTCAAAATTTACATTTAACAGTTAGATAAGTTTACAGCATGTGGATATTCGGCATAAATGCTCGTTTGAGATGTTTCGCACTGACTAACCATCCATCTAAAATTATTCAAGACCAGCCGCATACCTAAGCTTGGAAGTTATCTGAGATAGAGGAGAATACTTATACCTGAAGGAGGTGATTTTGATAGTGTTTTACCCCTCTTGACCACCAGATTACGCCTCTGTTCATAAAGTTTTGTAGAGTAAACTGACGACAGTCTACCAGTGTTATTACCCCAAAAGTTCGTCTAA